TAGATGAAGGTGACAGCATTGTTCTTGTGTGGTTTGGCTCTGGCCACCGCCAGCCCCTCCTGGGAGCACTTCAAGGTACAGTAAACCCTTCATCATCCTCGAGTATTACTTGATCACCTGGAGAGTCACTTGGCTAGAGTGGGGAAGATAAAATAATGAAAAACAAATCAATAAATAATTGTAAGATTGAATGTTAACTGTGACAAAGTTCATCACATGTGAGCTAACACTTAAACTTAATCTGTTTACTAAGTTTAAATCTGTCACTGTAGGTCAGTAAGTTTATCAGGTGGAGTTTGTGTTACACCTTATCCTTCGTATTTCATAACAAGATTCAAATAATTTATCTTTGGAATAACTTGTACTTAATGATATCATTTACCTTCAACAAAATTTCCCATTTTTCACTGACCACTTACAGACAAATTTGATTTATTTTTTAATCAGTGATTTCTGACTAGATCTTTATCATTACTTCAGTTTGAAATATTTCGAGATGTGATACCTACATGATGGTGTACATGTGTGCGTATTGGCTCCCACAGGCTCAGCATGGTCGCAAGTATGTTGATGCCGAGGAGGAGCTCTTCCGCCAGAGGGTGTTCCAGAAGAACGAGCAGTTCATCGAAGACTTCAACAAAAAGTTTGAGAGAGGCGAGGTCACCTTCAACGTGGCCATGAACCAGTTTGGTGACATGGTTAGTCTGTACATCATTTGATGACAGTTTTATTAAATTATAATATCTTTTGAACATTGAAAAGATTAGTGAACAATGAAATCTAATTCCTTAACTTGAAATAAATTCTCTTATTCCAACAACTAAAATTATTGTTGTTTTACAGACCAATGAGGAGTTCAATGCTGTGATGAAGGGATACAAGATGGGGTCTCGTGATGAACCCAAGGCCGTGTTCACCGCTAAGGAAGGCCTCCCAATGGCGGCTGATGTTGACTGGCGCACCAAGGGTGCCGTCACCCCTGTCAAGGACCAGGGACAATGTGGCTCTTGCTGGGCTTTCTCTACAGTAAGTGACCTGATGTGTTTATCAGCTGTTCTTCAGATAATTTACCAGAAAATTTTCTCTTGGAATGTGATTTAAATAAGGTATTTTTCCTTCTCATTAATCATTGTTGTTCTTACTCGAATGACAACCATATATAGAGTGATGGTACATACTTGGAGCTTTTAATATAATAGTATCACATTATTATAATAAAGCACCACAGAGGTCGGTGTACCTTCTCTTACTACACACATAAGGCTGCAGTATTGTCCAGTTATACTCTTATATTGAGATAGTTCTAGAGACTGACTGCCACAACTCACCCACAGACCGGCTCCCTGGAGGGTCAGCACTTCCTCAAGTATGGGGAGCTGGTGAGTCTCTCTGAGCAGCAACTCGTCGACTGCGCTGGAGGAATTTACTTTAACCAGGGATGTAATGGTGGATGGGTAGATAGAGCCTTCAACTACATCAGGGACAACGGTGGCGTCGACACTGAGGCTTCATACCCTTACGAGGCAAAGGCAAGTCACCCAAGCTCTCTTAACGTCTTGGAAAAGAACAATTTATTAAACAATTTGACTTAAAAAGAAATTGTTTCCTAGAAAGTGGTTTGTATTAATCATCAATGCTTTTTCTAATGATACTTAATAATCTGTACTTCAGGACAAACTTACTTATACCTAATTCACTTTGTCTTCCATTCAGGACAAGACCTGTCGCTTCAATGCAAACAGCATTGGTGCCACGCTCGTATCTCATGTGGACATTGCACAAGGAAGTGAAACTGGCCTGCAGCAGGCCTTATCAAGCGTGGGTCCCATTTCTGTGGCCATTGATGCTTCTCACTTTTCCTTCCAGTTCTACCATGACGGTACGCACACACACACGCATGCATATCACATACTGCTTAATACAGCACTTTTACTTTTGTCTTCTTCGCAACTAGTCGCTTGATCTACAATATTTACAGTACTGTACTTGTAATGATGATGGTATTTTATTACTCAAGAAAACATGTGGCTGTACCACGATAGTTTTCAACAGTTATATTTGTACCACAGGCGTCTACTACGAGCCTAACTGCTCATCAACCAACCTGGACCACGCTGTGCTTGCTGTGGGATACGGCTCAGAGGGCAGCCAGGACTACTGGCTCGTTAAGAACTCCTGGGCCTCCACCTGGGGCTTACAGGGATACATTAAGATGGCTCGCAACAGAAGCAACCACTGCGGTGTTGCTTCCGCTGCCTCTTACCCGACCGTCTAGAGCTGACTGCATATTATCAGACCAGCACACAATGGCAAATGGTGCCCGTTGGTGCTACTCCCAGGCATGAGAGACCTACCATAAACTCTGGGACATGAACACCTTCACACATGGAGGTGTGTTGATGTAAATATGGAGGAGCAATAAAGAGCATAGTATATACAGAATAATAGTTTTTTGATAAGACAAGTCTTGAATATAACAAGGAAGTTGGTTCAACTGCAGCACATGAATGTGAGTTCAGGCCTGGAAAACGACTCTGGAAAAACCACTTAGAACACAACGTTAAGAGTATTACCTGTATGCCTCACAGTATTATATCTTCTGTAGTAAAGCCGACACAACCACAGACAAAGAGGCTGGTAGAACCTTCATAAAGCACACAAAACTGAGGCAAGTTCCCTTGTCACAACAATGTCAATAAGACACTCATTAATAACATTATGTTTCAGCAACACTTCTAATTATAAGTTGGTCATAAGTGTAGTCAGAGTATGCATGAATGTTAACAGATCATATACTGTACTGTATATGTATAAACTGTAAAGTTTGAATGGCCAGAAGTTCAGTATTAGTTGACAGTTTCCACTGTGTTAGATAACAAACCCATCACACAGGTGACCTAGGCGATGTCATCACCTTATATTAGTGTGAGAAAAGTAGTGTTGAAGTTATAGCCAAGTCCTTGTTCATTCCCAGTCAACTATGCAGACTGTACAACATAATAAAAACCTATACTCACCAAAGTGTTGACCATGATGTAGATGTGACAGTCGGCTACAGCTCGGAGGGCGGCCAGGACTACTGGATCGTTAAAGAACTCATGAGGCACCAGCTGGGGTGAACATGGATACATCAAGATGGCTCGCAACATGAACAACAACTGTGGTATTGCTACTGACGCTTCCTACCCAACAGTCTAGAGGCCTCAACAAGCCAGATCTCCACGTCAGGTCAAGTAGTGGCTGCTGCTGCTGCTCCCCATCATGAGAGACTTACTAGGAACTCTGTGTGACAAACACCTTCATGTATGTGTGTCTCTGGTTCTCTAATTTGAAGCCATACATAAATGAATATGGAGGAACAATAAACAGCATTGACATTTTTTGTTATTGTCGTATTAAGTCCTAAATATAACATGACAGCTGACTCAAGTGATGAACATGAACAAGAGTCCAAGCCTGAGAACCATCCAGATAAATAATGCAAGAAATTGCTTCAAGAATGACAACTGTACACCTGACCTTTGATACTAATTCTACTGTGTAACAATAAGTGTTATATATCACACAAACTGGGGTAAACAAGGTGATTTAGTTCATATTGATTCAGCATAAAAAGTACAAAGACAGTGTACAGACAGAGTGTTTTGGAAATATGTTTCATAATTCTGGGGTGTATTCCTGAGACATACATAAGGATAAATGACTCAACAACCAGTATCAATACCACATAGTTTTGGAGTTAAATAAAAACATTTGGTATGGGAGGACTGCAACAAATCTTGGACGTAAAACATTTTCTGTAATCCTTGTTCCTACTCACCTCAATTCTATCTTTTTATAAAGAAAAAGAAAACTTCAATAAATACTTATTTTATGTCCCCTTTAAGCAATATCATCTTGTATTACTGTATTCCCATCTCAGTCATCCAGGTAATATCCCTTGTCTGTAAGAGCTGCAGGGAAATATTTAAGGTAAAAAAGACAAATTTCACTTACAAACCAATGAGGAGCCTGCCTCTCCCTGCCTCATCCTCTTCAACTCACCTGGAGATGTTAAGTCAGTCCAGAGTCGAACCTGAGGTATCTGTCACCCACAGCAGGTATCATGGTCACTACTGAAATGTATATGTCATTGTCAACGCATATATGAACTGCTTATATATATATATATATATATATATATATACCTGTATATATATATATATATATATATATATATATATATATATATATATATATATATATATATATATATATATATATATATATATATATATATATATATATATATCTGGTCTCATAACTATTTACCTGGTATCTAGTGTCTCAGCCTAGGGACTGGATGTCAACTAACACACCTCAATAATAAAGGAGTGTAGAATCCCTGTGTAGAGATGATGGAGTACAGTATAAGACAGTGTGACTAATCAAAACTAACTAACTAAATAAGAGCAACGTGACAAAAACATTGACATTCCTCTTAGGTCTAGTGATAAGCCTGTACAGAGACAACCACCAGCACCAAAAGATGATCAGAGACTCCATCAATGGGCCCAACATAACCCAAACTTCAAACTCACCCTCAGACTTGGTATTGGGACAAACATCGCTCCTTTCAACACAAGTATGTACCCATGACTAGAGCCTTCTCAAGTGGTGTTATCATGTTTTTTACAAGAGTATAGTCAGTGCCGCCTGCATTTGCTATTCTAACATTTCAGAAATATTTTACTGTATCACACTGGAACATTAAGAGAATTTAAATTACAATGAAGAATTTCTTTATTTCTTCAAACTGCAAATTAATACAGAAATAAATTAATACAATAAAATAAATCATTACCATTGTAGAATATAATAGTTTGGTTCTTTTCAAAACTTTTAGATCATATAATGTAGCAACAGCTGTTAAGTTTATGGAAGCATCTTGGATATAGACAATGGATATGGTGTGTAGATCATGGGGCATAGATGAGTGTTTGGAATGTGGAAAAAATAGAAAAAAATATTAAAATAAATTTATTCCTTCCATTGTAATATAAATTCTGTTGAAATTCCAGCACCACCTGTCATCACGTAATTAAGGTTGATAATTGTGAAACATGGTTTTATGCCGGTAGCTCTTGCTTGACACAATTGCTCAAGGTATTGGATATTTGGACCCATATTCTAGAACCGGGGTGGTAATATCGACAATATTTACCTAGATTTTGCCAAGGCTTTCGACAGTGTACCCCACGAAAGGCTGAAAATCAAACTGGAAGGGTACGGAATTCGGGGAAATGTCCTAGCGTGGATAGAAGACTTTCTACATGACCGCAAGCAATGTGTGGTGATTAATGGCACGAAATCGTCATCTGTACCTGTAACAAGTGAGGTACCGCAGGGTAGTGTATTGGGCCCGCTGTTGTTTGTTTGTTTCATAAATGATATGCCTGACGTTGTACACTCCTCCATACAAATGTTTGCCGATGACGCCAAGTTATTTCGGGAAATTAAGAACCAAGCGGACTGTGAAGAGCTGCAGAAGGACCTCTGTGGGCTCCAGGAATGGTCGAAGGAATGGCTGCTGAGATTCAATGTCACGAAGTGTAAGAGGATGCACCTGGGGCGTACCAACGGTAAGGAGGCGTATCATATGTCCCAACGGGATGAAGAAAATGTACTAGTTGAGACTGTGTGTGAGAAGGACCTAGGTGTGTATGTTGACAATGAGCTGAAGTTCTCGGGCCATTGTGAGAAGAAGGTAAATCAGGCAAATAAATTATTGGGTCTTATAAGAAGGTCGTTCAGATATCTAGACGGTCCGTCCCTCGTGACGATCTTCAGGAGTGAAGTGCTTCCCCATCTGGAGTACTGTCACCCCATCTGGTCCCCGAGATATGCTAGGGACTGTCAGTTGGTTGAAAATGTTCAAAGGAGGGCCACCAAGCTGGTGCCTGCACTTCGGCATCTCAGCTACCCTGCGAGATTGGAGCGCCTGAACTTGCCTAGCTTATACTACAGACGGGCAAGGGGGGACCTAGTTGAGGTTTATAAGCATCTCAGGGGGCACTACTCAGTTGAGTGTCCTTACTTGGAGCTGGCGGGCGCTCGCCCCACAAGGGGTCACAGCTCAAGATTGAAGAAGCCGCAAGTCCGGAAAACCGTGAGGGCAAACTTTTTCAGGTGAGGGTTCAAGCTCTTGGAACAATCTGCAGAAGAAGTGTTGTGTGACACGAGTGTGAGCTCTTTCAAGAAGACTTGACCAACACTGGAAGCGGGTTCAGGTACATTCAGGAGCCGGTGCATGCCCAGTATTTGCCAACAGTGCGTATTGACAGAACGTGACCCGATGTGGCAGGCCTGACCTTTAGTGAAATATAAGGAAAAGAAATCGTGACCACGATCGCCCAAGCGGCTAACAAGCGATCAGCTGGCGAAGAGGATAAAGCTAACAAGCCGATCAGTGGCGAAGAGGATAAAAGTAAAAAGTAAAAGTATAACACTAGTGAAAGCCGGCAACACCAACTACTGTATCACGATGCCACTCAAATTATTATGTTTATATTTTATTGACAGACTCAATGTTGTTTCATAAATTGAATAGTTACAATACATTTGTTAAGTACAGGGGGCCCCCGGGTTACGGACGGGTTCCGTGCCCGGGGACGTTCGTAAGTTGGAACACGTGCTATATGCGTACTGTACGTGCAAAACAATCTTTAAAATTCCACTATATCAGAGCCTAAGTCCTTATATACACCTAAAATTACTTACTTTAAGACAAAAGAAGAAATAATGAAAAAAAATACAGCAAATGAAAGTAAAAAAATAAGTCATCAGGTAAATAAAATACGTACTGTAAATTTCAAGGTTAACCTTGTTCGTATCGATGGGCGCTCCTAAGTCGGGGACCTCCCGTAATCTTAGTATCTTTATAAAATAATTCACCACGATTAAACTGATTCATGAGAAAGTCTAAGTTACTCGGTGGCCGCCTACGCTCGCCAGACTGACATTCATCACAGTAATAATCCAATAACATTATTTATACAAGTGAATCATAAATTATATGAATTATACAGAAAATTCCATGATATACCTCTGACAAGTACATTAATAATGAATTAATACACAACTTTTACTTTTATCCTCTTCACCACCGATCTGCTCTTTATTAGCTTGGGCGGTCGATCACGTCTCTGTCAGGCACTGTTGACAAAAGCCCACCATCCTCACATGCTAGGGTCACTGTGTGTAAAAGAAAGTCATTACAAATAGGCTAATATTCTACCTCTATTAAGTACTGTTATTTTACAAATATAATAAAGGCATATACATAAACTGTGATGTTGTCTAGTTAATAAAATGTGCATGATAACAGGACTTTTCTTTGCCTAAAAATGGATATAATGGAATAGACCCAAATCACTTGTGATATATCAGTGCAACCTGACACTACCAACCAAATCTTAACTTACCCTAATCTAATGTAACCAAATTTAACTAAATTTATTGTGCCAACTTGTTCTAATCCAACCTAACCTAACCAAACCTTACCTATCTAATCTAACCTGACTAAACCTAAATTAATTTAACCTAATGTAACCAAACCTTACCTCTCTCATCTAACATATCCTAATCTAACCTAAACAAACCACTATACTGTTTTAGGGTCGCTAATAATCCTTAAATCCAGTTATTATTAAATATTTTTTAATAATAATAATAATAATAATAATAACAATAATAATAATAACAATAATTTATTATTACCCACCGAATTTCGAGAATTTTATCTTTACAATCAACAGTTCAAACAATTCTAAGAGACTTTTCCTCTATGACGTTTCCCGAGCGAATGACCTACATTATTATTATTGTTATTATTAGCCATTTAATTAAAGTGATACTCAGTTGATCTCTTTAATACTACGACAATACCTTTAACCTCATTTAATTCCTCATTTAACCCCACTAAAAGTCCTCTGGATTTAAACTCATTCATGAAACTATTTATTTACATCAGTTTTCTTTGTTGGAATAAGAGAAAATGGAACTTATAAATGGGGTACTTATTTACTTTTTTATTATGGTTGTACAATGAAGCATATTTTGTTCTTTTTCTTTAGTGTACTTTATTTTATGCTTTGAACATTTGTCCAGGTGTCGGTTAGGTATTTTATGTTTAGAATAACACCAGAAGTTGATAAAATTGGACGAAACTTTGTGGAAACGTTAATTACAATTGCTCCTGGTGACCAGTTGCAATGGCAATATACAGTACTTGTATACAATTACGATTTTTCAGTGCAAATAAACATCATATGGAACCACGAATCAGGCAAAAATTACAATTTTTTAAAATTGAATTTAGAAACACTAGAAATAACAAACGATATTAGCAGTTTGGCTCTCTCCCCGCATACAGAAGACGTACAATAATGTAATACTGCAGTTTCACTACCAATTGCATTTACACCAGAAATCTAGATATTTCCTAAAGTCGGTGCTCAAGGTTACTGTGTTGTCAAATATAACCTAACATAATCAGGGTTCCTATGTACAAATATAACCTAACATTAAACACACAGAAAACATCACTGCACTTAAAGCATCATTAACAAGATTGGTCTCCAGTGTTGTATAACAAATACAGTATAAATAACATGACTTTCATATAAAAACATGTTGAGACCCACTGAAGACTCTGGAACAATCTACCAGAAAGTGTTGACGGCACCGAGGTGAGCTCTTTCAGAGAAGACACAACACTGAGCGGGTTCAGGTACATTCAGGAGCCGGTGCATGCCCAGTATTTGCCAACAGTCTGACAGAGACGTGACCGATCGCCCGGCGCTAGCGACCGACCTTTGGTGAAGAATATAAAGGAAAAAGTCTGACCGATCGCCCAAGCGGCCAAGCCGATCAGTGGCGAAGGATAAAGTAAAAAGTTGAATGGCTCCTGGACACAACATTGATGATGGGCAGCGCCTGTAACATTGGACGCCGCCATTTAAAATACTTTCAACAGAGAAAGTGAAAACACACACGAATAATAGCTGTGGTCTCTTTCTCTATATCTCACCATCGACCTCTAAGTTTACGTCTTAACTTTTAAATACATCTCTATTTACGTTTGAGGTTATCGATTATCCATCAGCTTTCTTATTATATGATAATCACAGGGCTTCAGGTGGCCGCAAACAGCAACTAACCTCACTGTTGTTTCTCTTTGCTAACTATATTAACCAAGATGAGAAAAATATAATCAAGGCGAGAAACTTCTTCTATGGTTTTATAAAAACACGTCGATAGCACCTGAAAACATGATATTTTTTTTCCATTTTCTTTAATATATTAGAGAAAACGTTAAAAAATATTGATGTCTAACATAGAATTTAGTTGTGTCCATAGAAATAAATCTATAATTAAATAATTTACCGCAGCTCTGCTACTCTAAGCAGACAGCCGCTCCTCTTCCTGCCCCAAGCACCACGTCCTACCGACCCCAACACACCCGTCTTGCCTCAGACGCCGTCCCCGGCCCAGCAGTACCCCCTGCCGCTCCTCCTGACGCGGCCCCTGCTCCGGACGCGGACCCACACACCCCTCTTTTCTCCCTCAGGTACCCCCTGCTGCTGTCGTGGGCCCTGCTGCTGTCATGCACCCTGCTGCTGTCATGGACACACTTCCTAACGCATCCCCTGCTCCTGACCCAGGCCCACACACCCCAGCAGGCGCATCTGAGGACTCTGTACCTGTCGCGAGTGAAGCACAACATTCACCGCCTCCACAACCCTCCTTCTCCCTTTTTTCTCCGACAGATCTCGTGTATCTAGACAGAGTTGCCTCCCCCTAGCGGCCGGCTCATCCACGCCCTCGCTGTTCTGCCTCACATGTGGCACGCACCGCCCGTTCTGCCTCACATGTGGCACACAACTCTGCCAACCTCCAGCCTCCCGCCGCGCCCGGAGGGAAAGGGGAGTATTGTAGTGGATTCCTCCCCTACAAGCACCGAACCTTCTCGAATTCCCCAGCCTACGCCTACCCCCGCCTTATAAGGCCTGACACCGCTGTGACCAGTCTCTTTCTACCCAGTGCCACCAGCAAGCAACACCTCCTCCGCGCCAGCCTGGCGGCTGCCGTTCCCGCCAGCGACCTTGGGGTCCCTCAAGCCGCGTGTCCCTCCTCTGGGCACCCTCACCACCCAGCTCTCTCTACTCAACGCTTATTACCATGCTACCTACCCAGCAACACGCTGCATTGTACATCCAATACAATATGTATACAGTGAGCACATTGTGAGTTGCCTTTCTCCATCCCATCCTGAGTGTGAACCAAACAATCTGTTCCCTACAATACAACCCATGATTAATTAAGTTCCTCTACACTGTTTGTATACCTGCACTGTATATGTACATTGTCTGTATACGATTTTACTGAATAAATATCTAGGTATCAATGACACAGTTTGATCTAACCCACCCTACCCTAACCCACCCTACCCTACCCCACCCAACCCTAACCCACCCACCCTACCCTAACCCACCCACCCTACCCTAACCTAACCCACCCATCCCTAACCCACCTACCCTATCCTAACCCACCTCATCTTATGGCCATGACTCTAGCCTCGTGCCAAGAGTTTCCCACAGTTAGTCACGGCGTCGGAAACTCGCTTTTACGGGTCAGTTTAATGGTTACTTCAGGAAATAAAAGTCTGGAGAGAATGGAATCACTCGAGCGTATAAAATTAACACCGTCGACAGGAATATAATGCTATAATGCGGCTAGCTATTAAGGGCGTGATTCTCGTTATTGTATTAGTGCTAGATAGGGTTTATGAGAGGGAGGTGTTGTGGTCCCTATAGCCCCGGGCAGGAGAGGGTGGTGATAGAGTCCTCAACCTTAGGAGTTCTGGTACAGATTAAGGAAGAAATTTTTTCTCTGGGAACTGAGAATTTAGGGGATGAGAGGGAGGAGGAATGGGAAGGTGAGAGGGAAGAGGAGGAAGGAGAGAGGAAGAAAAGGAGGAGGGGGAAGAGGGGGAAGAAAGAGAGGGAGGAAGTGGAGGATTAATTCCGATGTACAGTACAACTATGAGTTGGACAGATGATCATAGTTATATGTTTTAAGCTCAGGGACGAAGGGGGGTAGAGGGATGAAGGGATGGGTGGAAAAACAATAGATGACATTTCAAACCATAAAACTTGGTAGTGTCAGGGTTAAGGAACACATCACAACAGTATTACACCAACAAGGCCCTCGTCTGGCGCCAGGTGTGACGAGGCCCGTAGCTAAGAATGCCTAGTAAGATAAACTGCTCCGCCACATCCCCAGATGAGTATATTGTTGTGTGAACTGAGCCGTAAAATGCCTCAAGAAAATAGACTGACAGGTAACTGGTATTTTACCACACAAGACAAATTGCGTAACTCCATCAGTGTTTTCACAGCACAACACTTGGTACATTCACGACGACCTGAGGAAGACTAGTCTTAACTCCCAAAGATATGGGAGGTAGCCCTTCATAATCACTGTTTTAATGTCGAATACACAAAAAGAATTTGAGACGACGCCATGTGAAAGAGAATGAGACCTTCTCTTGCAGCTTCAAATCCCCGACGACACCTCAACACAGGACGAGATGCCGCAAATACCAGTTTGCTGCTCCGCTAGCGCCAGAGACGCCTCTTGTCATGTTTTATTTATCCCGCGTTCCTTAGCCAGACACGTCGGCCACCTCCTGCCGGGGCTCTGACCTGCATAAGTTACCTCCCGGGTACCCAACCTGCACTGATGGCGCCCTGGCCTCCCACGTCCTTATAACTATCGCCCCTGGGTCTCTGCACCTCTTACATCTATCACATATGACCTCTCAGAGCCTCGGGTCCTTACGGCTAATGCAGTGGGCTACCCGGTCCTTTTACAGTCACATGTTGTGGGGTCTAACCTGACACCTATTGTATTGTGTCCCTTGAACTTCAGCTGTTCTCTAGGGATTCCCAGATCATTACAGCTGTCATCTTTGGGGTCTCAGATCATTACAGCTGTGATATTTGGGGTCCCAGATCATTACAACTGTCATCTTTGGGGTCCTAGATCATTACAGCTTTCATCTTTGGGGTCCCAGATCATTACAGCTGTGATATTTGGGGTCCCAGATCATTACAACTGTCATCTTTGGGGTCCTAGATCATTACAGCTGTCACCTTTGGGGATCCCAAATCATTACAGCTGTCATCTTTGGGGTCCCAGATCATTACAGCTGTCATCTTTGGGGACCCAAATCATTACAACTGTCATCTTTAGGGTCCCAGATCATTACAGCTGTCATCTTTGGGGTCCCAGATACTATAAACAAGGATTCAATGCTATGAAACTTGGGCATCTGGTGACCTGGATCCATGACCTCCCGCCTGTGACGTCATGAACATCCTGGACTGTTTCGTTCACAGGTCAGGTGAGTCTCAGGGTTCAGAACCTTGAAGACCTGACTCCTTAGGGAAGAGTACAGGTAGATAGATAGAAATAGAGAGAGATATAGAAAGTCTTGAGAGCAGTAAAACGTATATAGTTGGCACTCAAGATAATCAGACAGACAGACGGACAGACAGGTGTATTTCCCTTACGACGGATGAATCTTTCCATCTACTGTGTATGTAAAGAATCCAACCCCCCTGTCTTCCCCATCCACCTGTACGTGTGTGTGTGTGTCAGGTAACCCGTCTCAACCCGAACTCCTCAGGTTGTCATTCTACGAGAGACAGAATGACAAGCAGGGGAGTTAAGAGTCAAATATTCAGGTATGTGACAACTCGTTCTACTAGTTGTGAGGAGCGCCGGGGTAATCCA